TATTTAATTTGTAAGTTAAATATTTAGTTTATAAACTATGACATTTATAAATGTATGAATCATATGGTGAAAACCTGACTTTGAAAAATAAATCTGTTCTTTTTTTCCTTATAAAAGGCTAAATAAAACAAAAATATTGGTGGTAATTTTTGATTGTATAACTTTACAAACAGCACCCCATAAGTGAGGGGGTCTCCAGAACGTCTTGAGGTGGGCAAGAAAACAATCTGCACTGCTAAGAATACAGGTGAACAACTGGCCGTGCAAAATGCAACCACACTGAATTCAGCGAGACTGCAACTAAAAATGATTTTTTCTCACATTTTGAATCACCGACTGGTTTCTATTGATCCAAACCCAGTTTATTATATAAACAAAATTATATATATTTAAAGCAGCTCATTATTGCAGCTTTAGTTTTTACTGCTTTCAAACAATAACTCAGATCWTTTCGCTGACACATTTAATTTAACAAGTTCTGCCATTTTTACAGCAAGAGAGAGGAAGTTGCATCTCCTCTAGAAATGCATCTTGAACTGTGTTCAATTCAAACAGAATATATATATATGTATAAAAACAGCCTAAAAACATTCAAAAAAAAGCGGCACACAAGATAGAACAGCTTCCAGCAAAGCAGGCGAAGATGCTGCCTCACTGAACGCAACCCAGATAGGACCATAAACACACAACAGCACTCTGTGCACACAACGATAACGGCACTTGTTTCAGACACCCGTGGTATAAATAGATACAGAGAGGACGGGACGGAGAGAGGAGAGGAGGTGCAGAGAGGAGAGGAGGTGCAGAGAGGAGAGGAGGTGCAGAGAGGAGAGGAGGTGCAGAGAGAGTGAGAAAACACGGAGAGTCGGAAACAAAAGAAAAACAATTCTTTTATTCACTGAACGAGTCATTACGGACTCAACGTGAAACTTCGTCAAACCCCCCCAAGGCTCCTGGTGAATCTTTTTTCTTAGCAAGATCAACACCATTACACAAAAGTAACAACAACAACATCTACAACAACAACAACAACAACAACAACAACAACTGTGCTGTCACACGCTGCCGCCCGGTCTGAGGATGATGCACGTCATTAACACCACAGCCAGCCACACATTAACACACACTGTTAGGTCTGTTTGGCGGTCCCGTGCTCACATCGTGGGGAGGGGGCGGGGGGCAGTGCCTCTGCAAACCCACAAAAAGAGTCTCTTCTCTGGGATTCACAGAAAGTTGTGAGACATTTGGCCTTTTTCAAGTCTTGGACTGTAAAAGCTGCCGTCTGCAACAACGTCCCCCCTCTGCAGAGTCATGGTTCAGAGTTTATATATTTATAGTTTTTAAACGTAGAAGTCTTTTTCCTGTAGTGTCGACGCACAAAGTTGAGCTTTAAGTAGTGATAATTCTGCAACACTGATCATCACGTTCCAGTAAGAACAAAGTCACATCAAAGCTGAAGCAACAAGAACGTAGCAGGAAGCAGCGTCGCGTCCAGATTTGCTCCTTTCCTTTTTGGCAGGATTTGATTTGATTTGATTTTTTTAATATTTGACAAAAAAAAAAAAAAAAACGACTCACATATTCAGCCACAGTGCACAAACGCTACCACAACTTCTGCTTCGACGTCACAACTTGGTTTTCTTCTCATCGTTATGTTTTCTACAGAGGAAAGTACTGATGGTTGAATCAGAGCTGCAAGCAGGAAGGTGTCGATCTAATGAAGGTGACTTTAATATCTGTGGTGGGCGGGGCTTGTTCCCAACGCCCCCCACCTCCTCCAGCCCCTCTGCTCCGCCCCTCACACGTAAATGGCAGTCCGGGAAATGACCGAGCCGTCTCTCTGGGACTCCATGTCGTCGTCGAGGTACACGTCCATTTGGGCCTCGCCGCCATGGGCTCTGTGGGGGTGGTAGGCCGGAGGCAGCATGTTCCCGCCCCCGCCGACGAAGCGGTCGTACTGCTCCTCCTCCTCCTCCATGCTGTCGTCCAGCTGGAACTTCCTCCTCTCGGCTTCGCCCACGTCGCTGCAAAGGAGGATGTCGTGGGCGGTGGGGGGGTCGCCGGCGGAGGCGTGGTGAAGATGATGGTGGTGGAAGTTGTTGGGCTTCTCTGTTAGCGTGCCCGTGGCGTCGCAGCCCTCCCGGTACGTGTAGACGGGCCCGTTGTTGTTGGCGCCCGACCCGTTTTTGCCCCCACCGCCGCCGCCGAACAGCAGGCGGGCCTTGTTGCCGTAGTCGGCGCCGTTGCTGCCACCGCTGCTCCCCGTGGCGAGCGAGTCGCCGCTGCTGGGGAAGCCCCGCCCCTGCTGGCGGCGGCCGCGGGTCAGGAGGACCGCCACCAGGGTCGCCACCAGGAGCAGGGCCAGCAGAGAGCCGATGACGGCGCCCGCCACCACGCCGGCGCTGGACGGGTCCTCCAGGGCTTCTGCAGAGGGGATGGAGGGGTTGAAATGAGGGAGTGAGTGGAGGAAAAGAACAAGGAATGGTTTGTGGAGGAGGTACTGTGTGCAGCGGTTATAGCACGTGTGTTACAATCSTCTTACAAGTGTGTAACAATGTCCTCCTCAGTGTAATCCCTCAGTGCTGGGATCAGCTACTCGCTCCCAGCGGCTCACTCTAAATGATCGTCCAGCTGCTGCCACTTTACCTTCTCTTGTCCTCCCCCCGCCCCCTTCTGTCAGCTGGAGGGGGTACAGCAACTTTGTGTTGGTGTGAGCCAAGTTTGCCTCTCTACTCATGTTTCAGTCGTTTGAAACAAAAAGGAACTTTGCAGAAAAAGCAAATCTGAGTTGTGGGACTCATTTTGCCTCCGCCACGAAGAGTTAACGGCTGCGGCCCAGCAAAGCCACACAGACACACACAGACACACACAGAGACCCAGAACAGAGCCAGAACACAAAGGTGAAAGTGTTAATTGAAGAGGGTGAAATGAGAACAAACCTACAATATTTAACAGCCCCGGCCTTCTCCATTTTTAATCTCTCCTGCCCCTGATAGCCACGCTGTGTCCAATCCCCCCCACTCAGCCAACCCAAACCATGGGACAGAAAGACCACCTGCAGTCAACCTGGAACGGACTCCAGGTCACGCTGATGAGAGACACTCCAGCAGAGCGATTTGAAGAGGATTCCCTGCAGGAATGTGAGGAGAAAAACRAACCTGGCTCAGACTGAGGAGGATTTGGACGAGAGGATTCAAGCTGGGCTTCAAAGAGGAGAGAGGAAAGACTGAAACTACGCAAAGGAACGTGTTGCACAAGGTTTCTTTTTGTCGGAATTACAGAGCGGCTTGTCTTGGAGGATGCTGTACAGGAGAGCGGAGCAGCCGCGGGTTCTGAGCCCCGTCCTGTTTGATGCAAATCAAAYCGTGTTTCTGCCAGCTCTCCTGGCAAACTGCAGCGAACGCCAGTCAAACCATCTAAGGTTGACTGCAGASACTTGTGGGGGTCTGTGAGGCGGGGCGGCACCGTTGTGAGAAGGACACTGTTTTCATCGAGCGATGCCACGGAGGACATTAGGTAATGACCTCTGTGGAGCTGGAGGGTGGGAGTTATGCTAACAGAAGCAGCGGGGGGACGGCACCTTGACTGAGCCTGGATGGAGAGAGTGTGATTCATTCTGGGGGGGAGSAAGTGGCGGGAACAGAGAGGAAAGTTAGAAAGAGGAGCTCTACGGCGGGGGGACGCGGCAGGGTTATTCCACGCCAACACAAGCCGGCTGCACCAATCTGGCGCCGCTCATGGGAAACGACACGATGCCTAAATTAGGGGACAGCGTCGGGTTAAAATCCAATTGAAGTGACAGAAGGCATTAAGGGTGATGAATCCAACTCCCCCCGTCCCAGTTTCCCCTCTCCTCAAACTCAAACTGGCGCAGAAACAACATGTGAGCCAGCGGGGTATTTATATTTATCCTGCCATTTATATTTTAGGCATTAGTGACATTTATCAAGTGCCTGGGAGTGAGAGACGGCTGAATTATTGCATTTGGTGGCTGTCATCCTTCTGTTAATCAAATGCTTCAAAGTCTATTTTTCTCTAAAGGCTGTGAAGACAGTGAGCCTAAAATAAAGACCATTAGAGACGACGTGGCCATTTTTCAGTCAACCGGGTCACAGGAGGTTTTATTTTTTATTTTCTGGCTAATTTTACCTTAAAATTTAAAACAAATGAATCACTGTTGGTATTTAAACAAAGWCTTGTGAAATAAATGTAATTGTTTGAAACCATAGTAAGAATCCTTCCCTTATTTTTTGTAAAGTTTGTCTGCAAAGTGGGAAGCATAATTGTTTCTAAAATGAACAGACTGGAGTGTTTTCTTGGTCAAACTCATGTTTTTTTTTTTGTCTTTTTAGCATAATTTCCTCTTGTGTTTACCATCTTCCTGGTTTTTGTGTTAAAGTAACATTTCTCCTGGTGGAACCTCGTGACCACGGAGTCGTGTTCAGTCGTGTTTTTAGCTCTAATCCATATGCAGAACCACATGTTTGAGTAAAAAGACAAACTAAACATCTGTTTCAAACATTTGGAGTTCAACTATTTTAAATGGGGGTATCTGAATACCTGTTTTTCTCAGAGTTTGAGTACAAGTACTTCACTTTTATACTTACTGAGGGACATATCTGCAAAATCCACTTTTTTAGATGTTAAATGCATTTTTTTGTGGACTTGGAGTCTCTAAAAGGCAGAAAAGTTGARTTTAGTCTCTCCTGGTGCTGCAAAGTTATTACATTCTCTTTGGACCAGATTTTTCAGTTTTTTCCATTTTCTATGATGTTTTCTGAACTATYACGTCACAGTATTTGTGAGGGAACTTCTTGAAAAGGTCCGGACTTACCAACTCCAATTTGGTCATTTTCATTCTCCTCTGGTTCTGGGTCAGACTCAGGGTCCAACATGCAAGGCTGGATGGACAAGTCTTTCCTTGTTGACATCTTTTAATTCATTTGTAAATAAAAAGTTTATGTGTTGTATGTTATTAAACTACAAAAAAGGGCCAAAAAGTTTGAAGGGGGCGGAGYTTGAAGAGCCTCATTCGCATTTAAAGAGACAGCCTTAAAAACGAGTTGATCTGAGACACACCTCAGAAAAGGGGCGGGGCTTGTGGAGTTACAATAAGGAGGAATGAAGACCACAGCATTGCAGTTCCACTTTATGTAGACCCCAAATGAAGTATTTAAATGTGAGAAAGCAGGATTTCAAGTGCCTGTGACATCAAACTTTGTAATAAACATGGATGTATTTTTTCGAAATATAACGTAACATAATATAACAATATAAAATATACTGCAAACAAATTTCAAGCCACTGAGACGATCAACTGCTGAGATATTTGCATGTGAGGTAACAGGAAGTGATGTCAAAGGGGAGTGTTTGAATGTAAACGAAACGTTGCTATGATGACTAACAGACTGTAGAGAATAATCTGACGYGTCTAGATTATTTTGAGTTTATCTGAAAGAGCCAGAGTTCAAAAATATTGTTTCAACAAATGGCCTTTGTTGTAAAGAGTTCCCCTATGATGTCACTTCCTGTTTCACTTTGGCTGCGCCAAAATCCAAAGAAAATATGCCATTTTGTGAAAAAAATGAGTAAAATTGTGTCTGTTATGTCAATTATAAACATAGATGTCTTTGATTTTTGGAGATGCATGAAAGCAGAGTTATGTCTCCTTTAAACATGACTCRATGACTTTAAAAACATTTATTTCATTTACAACAAAGTGTTTCTTCTTCCTTATAAGCCTGCAGCTACTCCGACTGTATCAAATCAAAAATGCAGCATGATTTTTACTGTTACATCAAATGAAAGATTTTTTTTCAACTTGTAGTTACGAGTACTTCTGAGTCTGCTGCAGGTGAGATACTGACTGCTCACACCCGCTCGAGACCGAGCAAACAGATTAGTTTCATCATGTTTGCAGCTTCAGATCAGTGCTTTGTTATTTGATCAGRTTTTAATACTTCTCATCCATCAAGACGCATCAGCAGAGATGCTCAGCGTGAGCCGGCGCCGGCGCTAACAGATCCAGGGTTTATGTGGGCGACGCCCGACATCACTTATTACCATCTGAAACACTAAATGGATCCTAGTTTAGTTCTGACAGCGAAATGCCAGATTCACCATCAAAGTTTAATGTCAAATCCTTGTCAAGCGCCCTGCGAGACACTTTAGTAAACACTGTTCTGAGCGAATACACCCCCCCCCCMAAAAAAAACCCCTCCCTGGAAATAAAGAGACTATCGTAAGCAAGAAAATAGGCCACGCTTGTCATCCTTATTTCTCGTCAACAGAGGCAGCCTGCCTGCATTAAGGAGCGCAGTGATAAATGTCACACGGAGAGGCAGGAGGGCTTAGATCAGTCTCTGTATTAGTGTCAGGAACATGGGGGGGAGATTAGAGGGGGGACGGGGGGAGACACCCATGAAAAGTATCCATTTCTGCTCAGTTGCACTCGCTGCGGTGGGGATAATCTAAATGAGATGATTTGTAAAGTGGGGAGGCAAGGTGGAAGGAGTTAGAGAGGGCTGAGGGGGAAGGACAAACGCTGAGGACGAGACGGGGTGTGTGTATGTGTGTGTGTGTGTGTGTGTGTGGGGTGAAATCTGAATAATCTGTGGATCTCCTTCCCCTCTCCTTGTTTTCCTTCTCTGAACTGGGCCTGAAAACGCACCAGAGGCTGTCGATTTAAATGCACCACGGAGGAGATTGACTCTCATTAAACGCAAGGACGTCAGAAAGTGTTGAAATGACGACGAGACAAACAAAAAACACACACTGCAGGAGGAAAGACAGAAAAGAGGCAACAAGAAAAACAAACAAGATGGCCGACTTTACTGGTTTCATTTACATTTAAAACATAAMACTGGCAACTTTGTGTCTCCTTTTCAAAACCTTAAATCAACTTTAACATCTCAGGTTCACTTCAGAACATCCACAGGATTAAATAAGCCAGAAACTTAAATAAAACAAAYTTGAACGCGGGTTTTAACAAATATGTAAACCTTGTTTAAAGCAGATCTGCTCATGTGGAGCAAATRTGTTAAAAAGAGACACAAACATCTGTCCTGACTGATCCAGATGCTCCAAATACAGAAGTGAAAACACTCAGATCTTCACTTACAAATAAARTTTCATATAAAATGTTTTGGACTACATGATGTCTCTAAATTGGTTTATGTCAAAGTCATCAAACACTGTCTGGTAAAAGTTAAAAACAATGCCACGCTCGGCTCTCAGGATCCATCATTTTAAAGAGTTTCYGTGTCTGACATGTTGACCAGACTCAGCGGTCCGCTTGGATTAAAAGCTCTTAAAATACGGTGAGAAGAGCAAATTTCACAGGTAAATATTCTGTTCTGGTCTCATTAAACATCGTTAAACACGAGATTTCAGAGTTTTACCTCAAACATCCTCTCATGTCATCA